TTTTTTAATATATTCACTGACCTGATTTTTTCTTTCCCATGAGCTTATTTTTGAACCATTTCTAATGTTTCCGGATTTCAAAAGTGTTTGTTGCCATTACAACATTGCAACAAACGCCATTACGGTTCTATTTTTAAAAACTAGGTATAGATATTCTATATACTAATGGCTTGAATCATAACATGCAAAAAATAAAAGGTGTGTCATGTAAAATTCAAAAGTTATTTTTTTTGAGTATTTTTTTTTGAGTGTAAATTAACTCTAAATATATAAGAATTGTCCAAACATTACAAAATATAATATATTTCGTGTACTTGCCTTTACTTGTTTTCTTTGTCTTAAATGTTGGAAACAGACCAACTGTTTTAAAAACAAAATCATATTTCCATTAATTTTTACGTCGCCCATGTGAGAATCCGATTGGTAGGTTATGTTATGTTTTGTATTCTGTTTTTTTTTTAAATTTTAACGCAAAAAAAAATATAAATAATGTTTTTTTGAGAATAAAATCGTAAGGACCCTACTGCCTGTGCTTGCATTTGACGATATTCTAGCCCTGTCAACAGTGGACTACATATTTTTGAGATTGTTTTGCAAGTAACGACACAGCAATTCACACAATGTGCGAATTAATATTTCGAGGCGGAACTAACAATCTCGCTTCACACACAATTGAATAAACTTTGTTGGCGATGGCTAAAATAAATCTCAGCAACGGTTGTTCTCATATTGGAGGAAAGTACTGGCCGCCAGTAAACTTGCCATATGTAATTTACATGGTGGTTGTACTCGCTGCTGGCTAGCAAGTAGCAAGTTGAGGGCTCGGCTAGTTTTCCTATAAACAGAACTTTTAATTATATTTATTACATCCAATTTGGTCGCATTAGAAATGGCAGCTCTCATCATTGAACATTGTTGAGGTTAATCTCATAAAATTCCTGTATACTCGCTTCTTCTTTTCTTTCTTTTTTTGTTTGCCCGTTGTTATTTTAAATGAAATGCTCCATTCATTTTTATTGCAATTAATTACGCATGTCGAATTTTGTTTCTATTAATTACTGAGCTACGGCAACACCGCTTTTTCAGCAAAAATTACCGACAAGCTTAAATATCTTCAAAAATGCTATAGCTGAAACGATAAAATTTAACACTTTTTGAATAAGCAGGATTCAAGCAGGTTTGTCAGAACATAGCAAACGTTTGAAGTGTATCAGTGAAAAGTTACCAGAATTATACATATCATGTGACAACATTGCATTTTTGAATTCTGCATGATAGATAGATAGCTAGATAATTTATTCACAGTACAGTGGATGTTTCGTCAGAAAACAATCACATAACAAATTACAACTTGTGTACATAATAAAACAATGTACACATTAACTTTAAAAAATGTATAAGACAAGCAAACCCAGCAACACTTTGGCATAAAAAACAAACATATATGTTGAGATTTATGAAGACTCATAAAATGCATTATTTGTAAATGGTGTATCTGTATCTTTTATATATTTTGCCATTAAAGTGTTGCTGTTACTTTTGGTCCTTTTTTGACTTATTGGAACTTCTGAATGATATGGGTTACATGGGTCTATGATGCCCTTTTTATTTTTTATTTTAATGATTTGCATTGATTTTACCGTATTCTATTTTTCACTAATTTTATTTTAATAAACTGCACTAATATTTTTTTAACTGTGTTGAATTCTTTTATTCTAAACAATACAAATTTCAATAACATAGATCATTTAAATTTAAATGCTTTCAAATACATTTCAAGTTCTTTCAGGCTGTAGAAATCATTGGCAAATTGTTTTGTTGATACATTTTTCAGACTTGGATGAAGCAAATTGTAATGGTATGGTCCTGCGTAATTAAGTGACCTTTCATAAAACATATGACTGAGTTTCGGTGGGTTTGAATAACTGTTGTGTATTGCGGGTATATCAGTGTGATTCAGTGTGACCAAGGGCATTTTAAATACTGCTAATACTGTATGCTGTTGAAATACCTCTCTATGTTCAAAAAACCATCGGTATTGCTTTTTATAGTTCCAACTTTGACAGTTTTGGAAATATTTAAGCATTAGAAATAACATTTTGAAGTTATGAGACCTAACTTAATTCGGCTTGCGTAATTCATTGCAACAAAAATAAATATAGCTTTTAAAATGACAAAATTATGACGTGTGGCGCAAAAGTGGACAATTTTTGAATTCAACATGTTCAAAAACCCCCATTGAGTTTTATTGTTTCAGATTGGATTGAATAGAACCGTAGCAATTTATTAAATTAGAGTAAATTGCAATTTGCTCATCACAAAAAAATCCCGAACCAACAAATCTGGTTGTACGGAACATTTATCCTTTGTCAAGTATCCAGACTAAAAAAAAAGCCGTAAAGCGTCGGATGTTTTCGGTTGCCTTCTTTGGCCAACATTCGCACTTTTTAAAAAACAAACTTCGTTCTGCTTAGAACACAATTACCAAATTTATGTGTCCATTATCCTTGAGGCCAATCGGGAGTATAGGTAATATAATGTCGTGAGAATGCTTCCGTCCGTCCACGCCAACGGTCAAGCCGTATACATAAACAAAAATGAAAACACTTTCCGAAGTGCAACGATCATTACCTCACAGCTTGAAATAAGGGTGTTGACAATAATTGATCCCGACTTCCGATTCACCGTAGGAGTCAAAACAACTCAGCGGGATACCTTCTACCTTTCAAACTGTTTGTCCGTACGGTCTTTATAAACTTTCAATGGGATTCGAAACATTCTCGCAGAGGAAGTGAATTTGTTAACGTTTTCATTGAAAAGTTTGCGTAAGTTGCCGTAAGATATGCGAAACTTTTGGCATGAAAAGTGCGAGAGGAATTTCTCGTGTAAGATAAATTGAGCCTTTTATATTTACGCCAGTTTTGTGATTTATAACCAGCCGAGTCGTCAAATGGTTAGAATTAAATACAATTTTATTTTAACTCAACTTTCGTCGCTGCGACTTCGTGATTATTTTTTTTTTTAATTTGAACTTTATTTTCGAACAAATCCGCAAATTTGGTTGTTTATTTTTTGATTGTATTCGGAGAATAGAGTAATGCAATTCGTCTACAAGTTACCTTTGAATCTTTGACTGGCTCATTTTGCCAGCATAAGCGACCATTTAAGTTAAGTATCCATAGATTGTGTTTCTTGGCAGTTGTAAAGCTAGTAAAGTTATATCAGATATATTGGAAACCTTAAGAGATACGAAGATGGTTAAGTTAGTAAAAACTTGCAAAATGTAAAGCTGTGAGTTGTTGAGAAAACCAAAAGAACCCCTAGAAAATACGCAAAAAAAACGAAATTTTCCTATTTCCTTTTTATTTTTCTGTGATGTTATTTAAAGAGATACAAAAAATAAAATTATACTATGTATGAAATAGTATTTTTATTACAAATACAACAATGTACGACACAATATGAGTGTACATTGTTTAAATCACAAAAATGGGTTTTTATTAAAATTTAAATGCTTTGGTGTAGTAGACGCTCATGATAAATCACATATAAATACATTAAACAAATTACTTCAAAAGAACTTGTTAAAAAAAATTACCAACAATGTTCAAACAGGTGAACATTACTTGCCATATCAGTTGTAATGTTTTGAGTCTCAAAAACTCGCTGGTAAACATAATTTTCGCCATATTTCCATATAAAAAAATCGAGTGGTATGAGGCCCCACGAAACTACTGGGAGTTATAAAAAAAAGTGCCCAGAGTTAAGATGACCATTATAAAAAAATGCCTATTAAATTTGTTCGAAAAATCCCAATCCACTTATTACCAAAACTAACCAGATATGCCCACTTCATCTTTCTAACTTACACCATAATATTGAAACTTTAATAAAAACCATTTTTTTTTATTTAAACAATGTAGAATCACATTGTGTAATTTCTTTACCGATCATATGAAAAAATAAAGTTAATGATGAAGTTCGCCGAAATGAAGCGTGGTGACCTTCACTTTTATTATCAATCTAAATAATTTCCGTTTTTCTGACGTATCTTCGAAAGTGACTGGGATTCCTTAGTTTTCTCGACACCACTACATTAAGTATTCTTTAAATTTTTGCATTTTCTTTTCTAATTTAACCATATTGAAAGACATCTTTATCCTGGACACACCGTGTTGAGAGTGAGGGAAGCTGTTCCTTTAATGCTAAACATTCGGGTGAATAATCGCTAACGATAGCAAACATATGCGCATTATGAATTTTACGTCCGAAATAGTTTAACATTTCTTTCGCCAGAGGTCTCACTAAATTGTAATAACACCAATGACTGTGGAGTTTTCTTGGCTGTTGTTGGGTCTTGATCAAGGATTGATATTTTGGTTGTCACAAAACTTTAGCTATCACTTCAACTCCATTGTACCCCAATGCTGAACAAATAATTTGCAATAATGGCAACAAATCATTTCCGAAAAACATTTTTTTTCATGTACCAGTTTGTTATTGACAACTGCGGTTGTTCCTAGAACTAATGATACGAAGTAAAACTCCAGATACTCTGGATACAAATATCAAGATTTGGCCAAATTTAGTTTAGTCAAAAAGTTTATAATAATCGAGATATACGGTGTCCAAGTGAAATTTAATATTTCAATTTTTTCAATTTTTTTTTAATGAAATTTTAAGGTTCGAATATAACCGGTACAGATAGATATATAATAATAGGTAGAGGACTACTAAAACTGGAAAATATGAATTATTTTATGCAGTACCATAAACGTGTGGTTTATAAAGCATGCAATGTGGGATAACAGTGGGGCCCTTTCGTTGGAGGGTGAAGCCACAACTTACTAAATAACTTACCAAAACGCCAATATATCATAAATACATACTTTTATTATTAAAACTTAAATAAATAAATCACTCTGCCTGTACATATCTTTTTACAAAATGTTCTATACACAATCATTGCAATAACTATAAGTACACTCAGCTATGCCGACTTCAAAGCGCACACGGCGTAATCGACTTGAAAGACGAGGAAATATGTACGAACCGGAATCTTAGTACATCATCGGTATAAACGGATATCCTGCGGCAGTACCAGAAACCCAAGTTTCGAACGGCAGCATGACGGGTACGGCGTATACCCCTTTTGGTTGAAAATGCGTCCGTGAATGTTTCTTGAGGTGATCTTTTCTACCGAATCTTTTGCCGCAGTGGGGACAAGGGAACGGCCTCAATCCTGAGTGTATCCTCTTGTGGCGCGTAAGTTCTTCGTTTCTGGTGAAGGTTTTTCCGCATTCCTTTTCGTCGCACTTAAACGGTCGTTCGCCTGTAACAACATAAAGTGAGAATAGTTAGATCGCATTTGGTACGGTTTGATTCAAATTATACCAAATTAACCATCAAATCTACTGCGTGTAGCAAAGTGTACTAAAAACCTCTTGCAAGCTATTGTTATTCAATTTTATTATAACCAACGATCAACCAAGATTTCAGATTTCACAATTTCAAATGTGATGTGTGGTATATTCAGGAGTTGCCTTAATATGAAAATAATTTTCTCATGTTTTGTTAAAATACATATTATCAAATTTTTAACGTCTCTTTCTGAATTATTGGAAATGCCGAAATTTTTGTTTGAATAATATGACAACCACCATTTTTTCTTGAAATAAGCACCACATCCTCTATTGTCAAGATAATTTTGTTTTAATTACTTCTAATTAAAGCAATAAATAGTTCATTGCTGTGTCGTATTTTCCTAACCTCACTGGAAAGTGTGTGCATGAATCTTAAAATCATTTGGTACCCAATCCCGAATAGCAAATTTTAGTTTCTGTTTGGTGCTTTTTTTACTAGCGTTTCTTAATTTAAGTTCACAATGCAGAGGTCTTTGGTGTAGCTGATCCGCCACTTTCAGGGTAGAGTAACAGTTGCCTGACATTATTTTCCGATATTTAGAAGTGCTTCCTCATGTAATTATAACAAAATTGTCCTGTAAATAAACAATAGCGTGCATATATAAAAAATATATTACTTTGCGCCCGCTTGTAGTATGAGAATATCATTTCTGAACTTCTCTCATTATGATGCTAATATGCAATTGAGTTCCTTAACCAACAATTTGTAAAGATAATATTCTGCCGACATTTTTAGTTAGTTATTCACTCCGTGTCATTGTAAATTAAAAAAATATATTTTTATATAAAAATAATCACGATGATATGTAAAGAAAATAATTTGCATAAAGCTCAAAAAACTAGATGGTTTAATGTTTCCGTCGTATATTTCAATTTTTTAAAAACGGGAGCGAATCAAATTTTATAACGTCTTATAAACAAATTTACTTTCCATCAAGTTTTTTTTATTTTGGAAAACAATTAATTTGATTGTTTTATGGTCAAAAGTTAACCTAAAACTTTAAAATAGATATTGAAACAGACGTTTTAAATTTTTGAATATTTTTTATACGATCCAAATTTCGCTGCAGTTAAAATTAAACGAATATATACATTAAATATATCGAAAACTGCATGTTCCAGTGAGAATATTATACATTTTAGTTACATGTGTTCATATTTGCTTTTTGCAGCATTGTTTCATATAAAATTCAAACAAATTCGCTACTTTTTAATTAAGGATTGCTTTGTACTTGCTAAAATAAAAAAAAACAAATTTATCTGCCTATCACGATCAAAACTCCTCAAATAACCATTTAACATAATTGAAATAAGCATAGTACTAATGTTTGCAGTATGTTCCTATCTCAAGCCTAATGATTTTATTAGTCTACAAATGGAGAGAATTTTTTAATTATATTTCGAATGCAGTGGAAATTGACTAAGCTACAAACAAGATTTTTTTATATTCCTCCCTTACTGAGTGAAAACTTGGAGTAATTTTAATCCTTATACACTGACCTGTATGTATCCTGATATGTCCTTTCAGCTGTCCGTTGTTTGAAAATCCAACGTCACAGTGAGGACACTTGTACTTTTTCGGTCTTTGCTTTTTGGATGCCAATATTTTCGCTTGGTGTTCTTGGTTCAAAACTCTCGCGTATTCTTCCAGAGCGTAGCCCTGAGCCAGCGTTTCGATAAGTAATGGATCACCAGGTGGCATACCCAACGACTGTGCCAGGTTACTATGCAATAAATCCGGATAGAGGCTGTTGTACGTGTCCGAGATGTAATGTAGCGGCGGTACAGACTTTTCTCTTTTACAAACGTCCGTTTCATCGGATTTGGCGACAGGTCGAAAGCTCGGTTTGGAATCCGTTGGACTTTCGCACTTGCTGTGATCGTCTTGAGTCGTCGTGGATACCGTACTGTCCTGGGAGTTATCTTTTGCACTGTCCCACGGTCTAAAAATACGACCGCACTTATTTCCGTCGTTTTTGACGGCGTCGTAGCAACACAAGAAATTGTTTATGTACATTTTGGCACTTGACGCGGCGCCGATCTCTAACTAAACAAAATTTTAAAGTAAACTATGGTTTATACCCCCTCAAGCCTGTGGGCAGTCCTTACTTGAAGTGGGGAGAACCGTTCGAACAATAATGCAACCCTCCATTGTATTCCTTCTATTATTGAATGAAATGGATATTTCGGAAGACATGAATGGGGTGACATGGGGTGACTTTAAGGGTAGCAGTTACCGCTTAGAGGATTTATGTTTGATAATCTCGGTGTTGTGATTTTTTACGCTTGTCTTTTGCTGTAAATGGGCCGCGTATGCGGTAGGATTTAGTTGTAATCTGGTGAAGTTATAATGACACTTCAGGTAAGAGGATTATGTTGCGGTCGTCGGTTTCTCGTCTTTATTAATTGGCCTTCTCCACTTACAAAGTCGTAAATTTAGAGCAATGTTTGTATTGAAAAACTAGCTACCAATATTAGCAAATCATTAGCAGCAATTATTGCCACATGCATAATTTTCTTGTTGGAATAGATTAGATTTTCTGTCATCTTGTCCAAGATCATATTAAGATTAAATTATATTATAATATAACTGTTGGAAACATGAAATTTTGACGAAATTTACGTTTGTCAGCAAAAACCGTAAGAATTACGCTTTATAAACCTTATTAAAACACACATTGACACTTTTAGGACTTTATATATATATATATATATATATATATATATATATATATATATATATATATATATATATATATAACAGTTCGAAGTGTTTTCGGAGCGCGAGCATTGAAGATGCCAAGTGAGATTTTGGCGAAACGTCTGCAGGATTCCAGTCGGAGTTCAACAAGCGAACGGATGATATCCCGGAATATAGTGTCACCATATATATCTATATATATATATATATATATATATATATATATATATATATATATATATATATATATATATATATATATATATATATATATATATATATATATGTATATATATATATATATGTATATATATATATATATATATATATATATATATATATATATATATATATATATATATATATATATATATATATATATATATATAATCTTGCACATATTTTCTTCAAATTCTCTTGGGAATTCGGTCTCTCGTAAACAAATAATGTAAAATTTTGTTAATTGTTAATGTTTAAATATTTATTAACGTTTCGATGGTAATTTCGATCTTTTTCAAAATATTCGTATTTTGTATAAGTGACATTTGATGATATTTGACGTTGCGTTAATATATTAAAAATAAACATAATTTGTCAGGGAACATTTTATGAGGATTGGAATGGCATGCAAAACAGGTAAGTAGGGTAAGTTTTCTATTAGCAAATATTTTGGATAATTTAATTTTGTTTTGTTTAAAATTGAATGATATATTTTGTTAAGGCCTTTAGAATCGGTTGTTAGGTTCTGTTAGTAGTACTTTAAATTTTTGAAAATTAAATGTGTGTTTGGTGTTTTTCTCTATTTGCCTTAATTAGTACAAATTAATGGAAACGGACAAATAGTTCCGCAATACCATCGGTCGATAACAACATAACGATTATTCTAATTGATTTGATTTATTTGATTATTTGATAATTTAATTATCAAATGAACATAATTTTGTCAGACAACTTCTATTTTACTGCAGTTTACAAATCTCTGAAATATGACAAATGACTCCTTTTTTTTTTCATAAAATTTCGTAAATTTACATTACATTCTATTTGAATCCATTTTTTCACTTCAGTACATCTCAAACTCAGTACACAATCCACAAAAATCATAAGTACGCACTCTAATCAATACAATAAGCCTTCTTTAGAAATGAATAAGTTCTTCCAAGCAAATCACCTATACTACCCCTTATTACTTCTAGTTTTTGATATCTCATAAGTATTTTTTTTTCTTTGAGATATTGTTTTTAATTACCTTTTCTTTATTTTAGTAAACTATTTTCTGCTAGCAGACCTCTTGTTATAGAAAATGTTCTTTCGAAACAATTTATTTGATATGATTTTTTCGTCACATAACTCTTTAATTTGGATAAATCTGTGTCTTTTCACACTTTCATTGGAAATTTTCCGGTTACATGCGGAAACAAATTAGGTAGAATGCGACAAAATGGATAGGTCGTGTTCACTTGAAACTTAATTTTATCCTTCCTTGGTTTGTTTCTTTACATTTAGTAACTGAAAACCCTTGAAAATTCGACAAATTTTCGAGAAATTATTTAGGAATCTTTATTAAAGGGTAAAAAACTTGTAAATCTCAACAGGTAGCAACATATGTATATAAAAAAATTTATTTTCTTTTCTAGGCTGAGCAGTTGTCAGAGAAGGCTCATAGGGATTTGCTTTACCGAGAGTAGAAAACTCTTCTTAAAATTCCCATGAAGTTTTCCTGTTTATCAATCTTTTTAAATTTGCCAAAATCCCCTACCAATGCGAAAGACGAAATGTCTAGTTCCTTACGTTACTAATATTTTTTCCGGCTTAATGTATAACGCAATACCATATTTGATAGAACTAAACGATTTAACCGACTCAATAATAAGATAAGCTTCAGCAACGGCCAAGTTCTATTCTGTCGCACTTCCAATCTAGATTCTCGAGTTTAGATGAGATTTAAACTTACGAACAGATCGATATCGCTTGTACAACACGGTCAAACTATTTGCCTGTTTATGTTCGATGCCGAGTAAGAACCAGAGTCGTCGTCTTCATGTGTGAGTTTTCCTTACTGTCCAAATGCATTCAATATCGTCCGTAGCAAAAATATTACGAAGGATTTCGTTTGAAAGTTTTTGTAAAGCTTTCCGAAAGTGTCACTTTAAGAAGTCAGTTTCGTTTCCCACAGTCTAGTCTCATCGTTTTTGGGAGAGCGATGGTATTTTGAAGTTCTTACTGTCAAATGTGTACAAATTTGGGTGTTATATAAGCACCTAAACGGACGGATAAAAGCTTATAGAGTGTATAAATATGGCGGATGAATAATGTTTTTATTTTTTTATCTTTAAAACCAAAATAGATCGAATATTACGGCAGTATTATAAAAACACGCTTTCTGCATACTGTTCTTTTTTTATTTAGGGGGGGGGGATTGAATTAGACTACCCCTATCATTCTTTTTAACCGAATTTAAGGAAAAACTTATGTAATGACATATATACAGTATATTTTTAATTTTATATTTTGTTTCGTTTTCATTATACTCTTATCAAATAAAAATATTAACACTAAAGCGATGCATAAAGAGAAAACAAACGTTTGAACTACCATCAATATAAAATAAAATTTAATTTTTTGGATCCTTAAAACCTTTTTTCAGATATCCGTTTAAACCCAATTAAGCTTAAATTAAAATACAGCTTTGTTTTTAAAAAACTGGTACTTAGTATTCGCTTAAATAAGTATTTATTAAAATTTGTCTGAAACGTTTTGCATCGATGATCTAAGTTATTTTACATGTAAAAATGGCTACCAGTTTTAATCTATCAGCACATTTTTCAGTGCTTTAGATACATTATATTTGACGTAAAAAAATACAAAAAAAAATTAAAATCGTCCGTGCCACTATTGTGATAATAAAATGAACTAAAAAAATAAAAACGTTCGGGTTATTTCATCGTTTTATCATCCGTACTTTATCAGGTGTATTTAATAGCCGTAGCGGACAAAGAATTACTCCTTGTTCCGTAAAACGTAAAGCCCATAAATCTCACAGTTTGCAGATTTACATTCGCTTACTTTGAAGATCGCTAATTCTGTTTACATTGCGATTTGTTAGTTCGCTAGATTTATATTTTCAACTATTTTTGCATTTTCTTCATAAATTCAAATTAGCGTTTTAAAGAATATCTTCAGGGGTGTTAATGCTTTTAGGAGAGAAAGGAGGAGAAAGTAAATATTTTTCTAAATCTATATCCGATTTTGGTTATTCCTATATTGTAATCTGAAGCTTTGCTGAAGTTTAATGGAAGAAAGCAACAATTAATATACGTACACCCTACATAATTTTTTTACCTAAAATTAGAAAAATTTTCTTGATATTTCTTAAATTTATTTCCATTTAATAAAACACTTGTACTAAATTCTAACCAACAATTTAAAATTATAATAACTAAAATGATATTTAAACAGAGAATTTCTCACAGAATATGTGCTGATTTTTAAGATAGGTTCCAAGCCAGTTAATAGACGAAGGATTACATATTTCCTCCCCTTTTAATTCGGTACTTCCAAGTGCATCTATTTTTATAATTCATATTTCATTATATATATTATTAATTTTAGGTTTGCAAACAATTGAGTTAGGTTTTTTGGAATATGAAACAGTTTTTCTATGTAGTGTGCTAAATCCAACCACATGATCGCGCCAAAACTAGATCCCCGCATTACTGCAGCTGTACCTATTCCCGCCTGCAATGTACCAAACTAAATGGTTTCGTGTAAATGGGAACCCGGAAGGTTTCGGTGATACATCTTGAACTACAATGAACGTCTTAATCGACATCGAATATCTTGCCACGCTTTCGCTGTAAAAATCCTTTTGTGCAGACGTCTGATATGATCGATATGAGCAGCTACTTTAGCGCTTATCGAATTTATGGAACGTTCATTTATATTTATTATTTAGGTCATACCAAACAAATCAGGAGAGAAAGATTTTGAATCACATCGTATCTTTCAACACCTCTGTAATGATAACATTATATTATGGTTTAATAGTAATGCCGTAAAGCCACCACTAATTTCATTTATTTTAAGTATTTTATATATTTCGAGACAAAGAAAAGAAGAAGAAAAAGAAAGAACAGAAGAAAGAGAAAGAAACTCCTCCACAGGGTTCACGTGCCCTTCGTTTAAAAATACAAACAAATATAAAATTACATTTTGGACACTATGTACTTGTTGATTGTCAAGTTATTCCTTGCAATAATTTTTTGAAAGCATCATCATGTGCTGAAGGCTTACGCCTCTTTAATAATATAACGATTAAAAAAAAACATTTTATATTAAAATGGTATTAAGGAAGATAAGACTTTCTTTTCTCTAAAGTTTATGTCCATAATGAGGGAATTTTATATATTTATGGAGCAAGTTTATTTTAGGACTTCGATGAACATGCAAGGTACATATCGCTCTTTATGTTCACTTATTCTGCAACCAGTTTTATTTAAAAAAAAAAACTAAAGAGCCTCTCGTTCAAAGTAAGGCTTTTGCAGAATTTTGACCGTTAAATCTGCAAAACAGTTAAACAATAATTGAATTGCAATACCAGTAGTTGAAAACGACTTCAAATTTAATAAGTTGTTTAGAAACGGAAAAATAAAAAAAATTATAAATGATAATAATTTTATAACGATATTTTTAATCCTACCCTGTTTAACTGTACCTATAGACAATTTTGCTACTTATATTTAATATGGGAGTTTCCCTTTCATTTGTTTTTTAAGATATTCTGAGATATTGGTTATTAAACTAAGACTAAGGGACCAAATTATTCAAAGTTATTTGGGGAAAAGTGGAACATGTTTTATTAAAGTGTCTTCATTGTGAAAAATATTCAGAAATATAAACAATGCATAGGATTCTTATCAAAAAGTAAACAAGAAGTTAAAGGACTACATCCTTGGATGAAAAGACTAACCACAGTTCTTAATATCATGCGGTAAATTCTTAAAATGGTTTAGGCCTTTATGTAATATAGAGTTTTGTACATGACTAGACTGACATCTCTCAACATAAAATACACATTTTCTTGTATTGTAATAATGAATATCTCTAAAATAGGTAACTTTTTCACAAACATAACTGGCAACAGACTGCTGTTTCATTTTAAAAATAAATACGTACACATTAAACATTACTCTTTGTTTTAAAGACAAGAAATTAAGAACACTCAACATGCTTTGAATTGGCGTATATCTGTTACATTATAGTTAGTATATTTCTCATGGCCCTATTTTGAACAATGTGCAATTGTTCTAATTCATAATTAGGCAAATTGAACAAAATTGTGGAACAAAATTCTAAATGACAATCAATTGACAAATTTTTCCCTATTCTAGATAAAAATTTGAGTCAAATATAACACCCAGATATTTAATTTCGTTTTCATGAATTAATTTTTTGTTGTTAATAGGTATAAATGTTTACATCGAAATTTAATTTACACAATTAATCTCGTTTACCAAAAATAGAAAATTTTGACTTGTCTTTGTTTATACAAAGCCATTCAGAAGCCTTTTTCAGATCAGCATTCATATTTCTTTGCATTTCATCCACATTTTCACTCACATTCAAAATCATAGTGTCATCCGCAAATAATACCACTTTAGTATCATCTAAAATATTTACAATATTGTTTATATACATAAGAAACAACAATGGTTCCAAAACTATCCCCTGAGGAACACCATGTTGTACAGTTATGCCATTTTTCATATTTAATTTTTTTTACCGTATAATACGAACAAAGCCATTTATACGCTGTTCCCTTCATACTCATTTTGTACAATTTTCTTAACCGTCTAGTTCTACTTATTGTTTCGAAAGCACGCTTAAAATCTAAATATACACCCAACACAAATTTACCATCCTCCAAGGCCCTCGAGAAATCATCACAGACAGTAATAACGACAGATTCACCTGAATGTTTACGTCACAATAACTTTGCAGCTGCTGTTTCACCACAACCTCAAGAACCTTCTCATAAACTGGTACGGGATTAATTGTGTACGGGATTAATTCTGTACAGTTATCACCATTGATGTCTTCCATGCCTCCGGCAAAATTCCACTCGTAAATGAGGTGTTCACAATGTCCAACAATCGATTTCCAACAACTGCACAGGCATCAATCAATACACTCTTTGAGATACCACACTCATCGCCAGTCACATTTATTAATTCTCTTATTTATTTTTTTTAGGTCCTGCATAGTTATGGTATAAAACTGATATATTTCTCCATAAGTTGGTATATTATCAGCAATATCATTCACAACCTGAGATATAAAATACATATTAAATTTATTAGCTATGAATTGCTTAAATGAAACAGTTTGCCGGCCAAAGTGCAACTCATCGGGAAGAATACCTTTTTTATTTAGAAGTAGCGTTTTTAAATTTTTCCACACTTCTTTAGAGTTTGTTTTATTTCTATAAATAATATCTTTAAAATATCCATCTTTTACTAATTTAATGCAGCTTACAATGCGATTTCTCTCTTTTCTGTAGGCACGCAATGTATCATCATTTTGTTCATGTACCGCTCTTTTATACAAACAGTGTCTTTGATACATCATTTCTTTTATCACAGTGGTTATCCACTTTTTGTTTTGAAATTTATGTTGAACATACAATTTTATTTTCGGACGCATTTGGGTTATTATATTAGATATTCAAATCAATATTTTTCGTTGAGTGTCTCCAGAATTCTGCAAGTTGTCATTTTGAACATTTCATATATTAAATAAGTTGTAGTGATATTATAAAACGGAGGTTTCTAAATAATCCCATGTTTAAGATTCCAGGGGTACTTGTCTTTACTCTGAAGCCCCAAATAGCGATACGTTTCAAAACTTAACACTCATACAACAGGACCGGCCTAATCCTTTCAAGCAGCGAGGACCGACAAATTATGACGAATCGCGTCGACTAACAAAGAAGGAGTAATTACTTACGAAAGGTTTATTTGCCATCTAATCCATCACTGATTTTCAAAATATTTGTACCCGTTGAAAGAATTCGTTAGGTAGTTTGGAAGCAATAGTTCATCACTGAAAACGAATTACGTTTGATACAAAGCGAAATAAAAATCAAAACTTACCCGCTGGAGTTTTCCTGGACTAATTGTTTGATATTTGGGCAATAACAGGAAATAATATTGGCTTAAGAAATACACCCGGACACGAAACCTAATAACAGTATAAAGCTTTTGATTCGTATATACTAACTGAAAGCTTTTGGTAAAGAAACTTCCGTGCTCGAACATTCGCGTAGTGTTGTATGGAGTTTGTTTTGTTTAAATTTAATTTCAAAATGCCGTAGAGAATTTAATTGGCGTACTATGTGAATTTCAATGGAAATACTGCGTAATATCAGCGAAATAAATCAGCCCTGACGGGAAATGTGACTGACATTTATTCAAATAGAATATTGTTTAGTTTTTGTTACGTAACACTACATATTCCTTGATCACAAAATTAGGTTATTGAAAATCGTACCACCTTGAAATTAATAGGTACTGACTTCAGGGTAAAAAACAGGCGTTTTTAATGTTTTATATTTTAAAATTTTGAAATTGTTAGTTTAATTTTTTTTGTAGTGACTATTTGAATAATGTTTGCAATACATTATTTTAATTTTTAATTTATTTCAAGCATGCAGTCATAGCTAAGTCATCCTGAAATTTGATATTGAAAATCCATTTTGGCAACACTTGTTTTTCAGTATCACTTTTCAGTTTTAATATTATAATCCAAAAAATGAAAAGAATATAAGCAGGACCAACTGGACGGTCGGAAGATATTGGGTAGAAGACAAATTCACCATTCAAAATCGCTCAAATCTCATTTTACTTATTTCTGCATCAATAGGTCCAAAATAAGCAATATGTCCTCAAGTTCTTAGAAGGATTTTTTCAGTACTTTATAGATTTTGTTAACATTCGATTTGATTCGTTACAATTGATATACCTAAGAGGATATTTCTCGACTCATATTCAGAATTAGAAGTTAGTTGAACAAATATTAAATTTAATGTCTTTGGTGTTCAACGACTTGTTGGACTTGTTGAGCAGACAATTTCCCCTAATTATATAAAAAATTGCCCTAATGAAAACTGATTTTCATCATACTCTCACTAATAGGGAATTTGAATAAAATTTTATTTTGAAAATTATTGCTTATAAAAGCAAGTTTATACTATAAAAACAACCACAGTTCATCAAAAAAAGAATTTCATAGTTCTTTGTAACAAATATAAGCAACAAAAATTTGTCAAATTTAAATCCTCTTTGAACCGTCATTGGCTGTGACCGGTTGTGACGTCAATCCGCTCGCCGGACGGTAGCATAGACAAGGAATAAGAGAACGGCAACGCGGCCAAGGTCAAACACCGCAAGTTTTTCTTTTGCTGAGGTTTGCGGTGTTAAAGCTAAAAGGTATGTTAATAGAAAATTTAGCCAGTAGTTTTATATCAATGTAATGTAGAAATCAGCTTAAAGTTTCCTAGTTTTCAAAATTCAAATGGTATATCAAATAAAATGTAAATTATTCAACAAAAAAAAAAACAAAAAGCAACCAGTGGAAACTAAAATATTGATTTTAAAGAATATTGACATTGATAACTTAAAGTGTTCTTTATTTTATATAGATCAGGAAGCCATTTCTACGCAATAGGAAGGGTGCAAGTTCGAAGAGTTAAAAATGTTAAACTGTAAAAATTCTCGGCCTAAAACCTGAGAATAACACTATAACATGTCGCCGTATCGATCGCAAAGCAGCGGTATGACGTCACGATCATCACGCGTTTCGTGTCGTTTAAAGGTAATAGCCGGATGTCAAAACTTGATTTGTTTTTTGCATCTTAAAGATTGAGTTTTGAGTTTTGATATTTGGTACGCATTATTTCTATACATAAACAAATGAATTGAAGAAATAAAAAAAAAGTTCAACTTCCCTATTAGCAGCAATCATCAGTAATTTCGCCTAAAATTACCACGATTGTGTATACTAAATTACAACTATGCAACTTCTCTCAGAATGAACATTTAATTTCTACTTCTTGAGAATACCGTCTGCGTCAACGAAAAACTGAAAATGCGAACACCTGGCAAGATTCAATGAGACGCGAAAATCAGTAAAAAAATTCATCCCTGTCTGTTCTGCAGCAATAAACGTCAAGTAGCTCCTACGGTCGGTCTCTTTTCTGTCGGTATCGGTAAGTAAAGCAAATTACTCGTAGTTGGCCGGGTCTATTGACAGTCGACCACTTTTGCCGGTCCTTTTGATGCGGTCAATGTGAAGTACCGCGTCGGGGTTTAGTTATTGTGCGCGCGTCAACAGAACTTCACAGTTTGCAAAAATATACAATGTCACTTTCACACCATTTTCGGTATCATTGTTTGTGTGTTTGGCCAGATTAAAGCGTGACGCGCTTTCGCATAATTGAATAGGCACCGATCGAAGTGTCTTGCTCCAAATAGACGACGACTTTATGCTATTTGTTCGGCTTGTGTCGGTCTCACCTTTCGGAACGTTTGAAGCTTTATTTCTTTGCTGTTTTCCTACGACTTACTTATCTCGAAAATATTCTGACGTTCTTCTTTGATTCTTCGCCACGGCTACCCAATTTTCACAGGTAATTCAAATGAATGATGAATACAAAGGTTCATAAAGGTTCAAAAGATGTATTACTCGAATTAATTAACTTCATTTATACAAGGAGTTGCAAAGAAGTTGGTAAATCTGTTAATCACGTTTTCTTTAGGTTAAAATAGTGGGACTTGCCTTATGTCACTTTCAATTTGAACGTTTGGTTTCCAATAAACAGGCTGTCAAAGTGAGCTTTTTAAAAAGGGATTTAAGAAATAATTAATTTAATTAATGCAGTGCAGGAGTTATACACACTTTTAAGATCTATTTGGAGGGGGCCTTGAAGATCTGGAAAAGGAAATGTGAACCGATGGGTATTCCAATTGGAGATCATACGCTTTATAGCTTTCATTTTGCTTTATTAAGCTTTATAGCTGTCATTAACAAATGGCCATAATACTAAGGAAATAGCAATTAGAATTGTCCAAGGTAATACAGTAATACGCCAACTAAACAATATACTCTGGAATAACCACATTAGTCGGAACAGAAGAATTAGAATATGCGTCGATTTTTGTCTAGTCAAACTTGCTATCGTTTCAATTTCAGTCAAACTCTGAAGAAGCCAACAGGATGATTGGCGAAACGTTAGCAAGTTCGACTCAGCAAAAACCGACGCATGAGGAAACCAGAAGTTTTGTAAAAAGTATTACAGTAGCCTGTGGAAGTTTTTTTGAAAAATTACAGAGCACAAATTTATTTCTTTCACTAGTTTTATTTAGTTCATACAACTTATGTTTGAAATATCTTAAGCTAACCAAAAATATAACCTACAATTAATCTAGATAGTAGAGACCTATTATTTTAGCTAGGGTTAACTTCAAAAAACGGAGCTTTTATTGGAGACGCTTCTTGCTTGTAGTACTATACGAAGCTTTTTATTGGTTAGGTCCCATTTTGGTGTAATACATTTGCATGTAGTCTTTAATTCAATCATATAACCTTAAACCACATAAATTGGGCAATATTTTAGGTAGGTAATGAGGACAGACAAATGCTACTAAAGAGTCGGATTGGAGGCAGAAAATCAAGTGGAATCTACCAAAAAGACTATTACTACTACGACTACAACTACTTCTAAACCTTGAAGGATATGAATTTTGCCCCGGAAGAACAGTCGTTAAAATATATTTTTATTTATTTATTTTATGTGCTTATTTCTTTACTTTGTTTTACGAAACTCAAGTAATTATAAAATTAACCATCTCTAAGAATTGAATAAATAAATAAATAATTTAAATCTCCAGAATGAATATCATATAAAACGTTTGGGCAATTTTAGGGGAGCCGCGGCTATCAAGTGGCAAAATTAATTTTCATTCATTTCCAATTAGGTGATTAACTTGAATACGATTAAATCACCGAAATTTTTGGACGTTGTAATTTCGAATCGATCCGTCTTT